AAAATACAACAGCAAGGTATCATTGCTTGTTGGATAGGATTAGACAATGAAAGTAAAGGCCATAAAACTTGGCACAATAATAAAATTACCATCAAACAAAATATTCAATTTCTCAAAGGTAAACCTCCTCAAATTGAAGGGGAGAAAATAGACAATACAAACAACAATACAAACAAGTGTTTAATAATTAAAAATAACAAAACAGATGATAGAATAATGAGAACAGACAACAATGATACAGACAATGCTGATCCTAACAAAAATGGAAAAGCAGCAGAACCAATGGACTTAACAGACAACAAAGTTAAATTAACTGAAAAAGAAGTAGAACCTAAATTACATTGATTGGAATGAAAACAGAAACTGACAGAATGTGCTATTGAGCTTGAACAACACATGGAGAATAAATGTGTAACAAAATGCATGTATGCACTTAGCAAAAAGGATGAAGATAATATTGCTATTCATTTAACAGAATTTAATGCTAAAATAAGTGAAATACAATTGGATCCAACTTCATTTTATGAAGCAATCTAATGTCTGGATTGTGATTCATGGATTACAGTTATGAAAGACAAAATAAAACAATTAGAAAATCATAATACATGGGAAATCACAAATCCACACAATAATATTAACATTATCAGAACACAATTTGTCTATAAAATAAAGCAATACACCAATAATAGTATAGAAAAATATAAAGCACAATTAGTAGTTCAAGGAAACTATCAGATTGACAGCCTTGACTATCATACAGACAATTTATTTGCTCCTACTGCTAGACTATCTACAGCACAATTAATATTAGTATGGGCAGCATCTAATAATTATGAAATACATCAGATAGATATAAAATCAGCATATCTGTATGGACAATTGACAGAAGACAAGGAAATATATGTTAAACCTCCTCCAGGTAACTTAATAGACAGATTACAGAATGGACAAATATTACGATTACAAAAAGTGCTATACAGATTAAAACAAGCTGGTAGAAGATGGTATAAAACACTATCTAATATACTACTTAAATACAGATTAACAAAATCCAAACATGATAATACTGTATTCTTTGCAAAGAAGAAAGAAATAACTGTAGCCATATTATTTGTACATGTTGACAATATTACTATTGTGGCAAAGAATAATAATACTATTGTAATGATAAAACAATCTATTGTATGTCATTTACAATATACAGATGGTAGTGAATTACACTGGCTACTTGGTATAGAGATTCAATGTGACAGAGAGCATAGATTCATCAGGATGTGTCAGACACATTATATTAATAGTATAATAGAATGTTACAAACTTACAAACGAACGAAGTGTACAAACACCTATGCAGCCTGGTACACAATTAAAAACAGTATTACAAACTGATAACAATAGAAAACAAATGTCTGATATACTATACATAAACATGGTTGGTGCACTTAGATACATTACAGACTGTATACAGCCAGATATAGCATTTGCAACAAATCAGTTAGCAAAATACCTCAATGACCCTGGTATGGAGCATTATCTGGCACTTAAACATTGTTATATGTACTTAAAAACTATGAGCAATGTCTGGCTCCAACTCAGCAGCACAAATCAATCAATATTGAATGGCTATACAGACACAGACAGTATGATGCAAGAAGGGCATTGTACAATATCAGGATATGCATTTTACTTGAGCAATTCATTAGTTTTGTGGTCAAGTAAAAGACAAACACTGGTGGCAAATTTGATGTATGAAGCTGAATTAATAGCTCTTGCAAGAGGAACACAGGAAGCAATTGCACTTACACATTTAGCTGAAGAGATTCTGCAGGTCTCTGATACACTAATTAATATCTTTTGCAATAACAATGCTGTTATACAAACAGTTACATCAGACAAACTCAAATATTCAGAACAAACAAAGCATTTAGATCATAAGAAAGACTTTATTAAATGCTACATTGAGTTAGAGTACATAAATGCGAAATACATACAGACAAACAATCAACAAGCAGATATATTAACTAAAGTGCTACATGTACCACAAGTCAAACATCTTACTAGTTTACTCAGACTAGTAAGAGTTTGAAGGGGAGTATTATGAGATGATTAGTTCATCAACAGACGAACCACAAGACAATGACTTCATAATGTCTCAGTTAGAATACATACAATATAAGGACGAGAGACACTGAGCAGTCAATCGTCACCTCACCCCTTGTCTATGTGTGCCCCCCTTAAGTTCTCCCTCTTAACAAGAACACACTTGGGAACCTGCTGAGAATCTCACCCATACTGCTAAGGCAATCTGAGACTTCTATTGACTTCATCCAGGTGCTCTGCATCAACTCTGCCTCATGGATTTCTAAACCCTACTGTTCTGACCTATGCCTGAGCTGCTGACTGAGCCCAATGCTCACCAATCAGGACAATTGGTTTTAGAGGGGGGGTGATGTTACAGTTCTCTACTCTTGTACCTTCAGTTCTGAGGGTTCCACACCCTTCTGTACCAGAACTCAGGACTTCCGTCCCTCAGAGGCACTGTCTATAGACTATATGCATGCTGACTCTTGCCACTACCCTTCCTTACTTCATCATTCCATTCCTTTGACCACCCCTTCATTCTTTGTATCATTCTATGGTCTCTTACCCTTTGTCCATCCCTTCATTCTTTGTACCTTTATCTTTGACATTCCTTTCTTTCATTCTTTGTGGCTTATCATTCTTAGTGGCTCATACTCCCTGAGTGCTCTTGTGTAGTTTAGTATATATAGGTGTATGAGATCAGACTGGTCCTGTAGTCTTGATCTTGTCTACTCCAGGTAGTCCTGTACTCTTAGGCTCACTCTATATACTCTACTCTTGTCCCACTCTCTCTCTCCACCTGTTCTACAAGTTCCGACTACGTTCCAGTGCTTGTGTTCTGTATTTCTGTTGTGTAGGATAGTTGTAGCCTGGGTCCCCTTGCTGAGCCTTCGGGTCCCCTCTACACTGTCACTGACACTCGTTGCAATTGCTCCTTTCGATCCTGGGAGGCGTACAATAACCATTTAGCCAATGATCCCGCACATAAAGACAACTACTGCACCCGGCATAGGCAGGAATTCGGAAGCTACTATCGGTTGCATCTACACTTTTCCGAAGCGCATACAGACACGTATTGTGATATCTGCGGTCAGGACTTTGCAAATTCTGAAACATTGAGACAGCATAAATCAACGCACTATTTCTGTGACACTTGCGAACTCGAGTTCGATAGTTCTGACCAACTTCGCGAGCATCGCCTCGAATCGGTTAATCATAATTATTGCAATGACTGTGACGAGGATTTCCCAACGGTGTCTGATTTAGACTATCACTGGCAAAGCTCCCATTGGCATGCAGACAATAACGGTTGGGACATATCGGACTCTCCATCCGAACCGGTGGCGTTCATTGAAGAAAGTAGTGGTGAAGATTGGGTGGAGAGGTTTCTTCGATTGTCACTCGATTTAGGCCCTCGTCAGACGAGTTTCTATTGCAGTGATTGTGATAGGTACTTCAAGACGTCTAATGGCCTAGACCAGCACAGGGCAACAGCATCGGTGCATAGGAATGCTCGAGTGCCGCGTTCGGTTTCTACTCCAGATGAGGACAGGTGCAATAAACAGGGTTACAGTTGTCCACTCTGCTTTGACCAGGGCGAAGATCTCAGTAGCGCAAAGTGTGGACACGTATTCTGTACCACGTAAGTCTACATACTTCGCTTTGTCATTAATTTTTTTGTCCTTATGTTCGTATCCGTTATCAGGTGCATACATCATGCATTAATAGAGAAGAGCGAGTGCCCGCTATGCCGCGCAAGCTCGGTAACTGCGGATTTGCGGCGCATTTTCCTCACGTTTTAGAAAGTTCATTCCCCTCATATTGTTACTTTTCTTTGGCCCGTTTTCTGTATAGTACGTCTCCTCGCTTTCTTTCGTCTCTTGAAGTGTCTTTTGTATTTGAGCAACATTGCTCGCATGCAGTGATCGATTATCTCTAGAACTGTGCCATTCTTGTGCGAAGTCTTCATGTAATTCATGTTGCTCAACATCTCTGTATTCTGTACCGTGTTATCCATTTCCATACCAATGTTATTGTTGTAACTTTCTCGGGTAGTTTTGTAACACTCGAAATCGTGTGGAAATCTACTTCTTGGCCGATATAATTAGGCCAGCTGTCTGATCAGATTCGAAGGAAATAAAACTCAATACTTGACAAGTTGACACATCGCGTGCCGAAGCAAAGTCGACCTCAATTGGTGTTGAACTTGCATTGTTCACAAACTCAAGGTCTCTCCTAATGTTTCTTAGCGAGAGCACTTGCTAAGAAAACTGTCGTATCTTGCAAAGGACATTTGCACAGGGTCCGATCCAGAGACTGCGCATTTCAGATCAAGGATAAGTCGTCCTATCATGATGCAATTAATCCTGTCGTCATAATAAATCATCTAGAAAGATATGTGCTAAATGACATATTACATGGTGCCCAAATTTGCATTAATGAACTTCAAATCTTGCTGTACTGTACCTTGAAGAAAGAGTGTATCGATATATCCTTGTTAGCCATCGTAGTCACATGATACAGCCTATATAGGCTGTATCATCTCTCTTTCCGTCATCTTCTTGTACCCGTATCTCATGTGTCTTTGTAACTCGCACTGTGGCCTTTTCGACTCAGGATGGAAATGCCACTGACCGGTACCAATCATCACAAACGACGAATATCGATCATTTGTCGTCCCTCAACTCTCTCACGTCAACCGCAGCCACCACCATCGCGGTAAACATTTTCTTTCCCAGGATTGTTGAAGCTTGAGGCATTCATTTTCCTAATACACAACAGAAGGAATACGAATTCCAAAAGCGCTTTCAAGTCGGTCGTCTTTCCAGTCCAGGCAACAGAAGTGTACGAATACACGGTGCGCTCGGCAGAACATGTGGCAAGGGACTCTCAAGTTTCTCCTGCGACAAAGATACTGTGATATTACTGCAAAGACAGGCACGCGTTCGCGCATCCCCGTACCGAGCCTTTCCTTTTCTTCCTTGAATCCTTCAACTCTTGATTCCTTCTGCTTTGCTGCGGAGGTCCTGCTGGCCGGCGTGTTTCGGTGGAGGTCGATATTGAGAGTCTTTATCGTCGTTGTGGTGCCATTGATAGGGGGTTTGGTGCATATGGCGCTCCGCAACACCACACGACACTGGTTTCGTTGCTATCTCCTGTTTTCTCTTTTCGCATTCACATTCATTCGGTATTTGCGAAAGGATGTTCTCCGACTCCCTCGCAAATTCTCACTTCTCTGAACGATAGAACGACGAGACGAAACAAACATGATTATCAGCACGTCGTCGTCCTTGACTGATACCGACGCTGAAGGAGCTGGCGTATCTTTCTAATGTCATTGTCAAGAAATACTTCTCCGAAGTACATGTGTCTCTCCAGACGTTGTGCTTCGCTAGGGCAAGAAATTGGCGTCCACGTTGCTCTTTGCTATAATAACATCACCGGATATCCTTGTGCTTCGAAGCTATGCTGCGTCTTGCTACTGTATATGCATATAGAAATCCGGCGAGATGGCTCGAACTGATAGATACTTCACCATTTTGACTCTCTAAGTCCTTTGCCGACGTTAAGTGGAACGGTAACAATATCAGCATCTTCCTTCAATGTGTTGTTGTTCAGATATGTAATTTGGTCTTCCCTTCCCTGCCAGCGCCTCCACCGCACGCCGCTGTCAGCCTGTACTTACTGATAACAGCGCAAAGTTGAAAGCAAACACACCCAGTACAGCTCCGAATAGACATCCGTCTGTTCTTTGATGTGGGTTGCACGGACGAAGTGGGATAAATACGTGTGGGTGATACAGTGATGCCACTTGCCATCCATTTTTATCCTCACAAGTAGGAATGCTGGTTTATTCTGTACGTACGTACTGGTAAGTATCGAAGATGATAATGAGGCGCGTGGATTTCTTCTGCTCTCCTCAAGGTTATTTATGCGTTGTAACCAGGTTTATCTATACCTTTCTCGTCTTCGAGGGCGTGAAATTCTATTTGTTCAATGATTTCATATCAAAAATCTCACATGACTCGAATTCGATCTCACCTTGTTTCCGCGCATCCAATGGTACATTCCATTTTTACTCTACGTACAGCTATATTTACCCAGAAAGGCGCCTTTGTCGTCATTACGCGCTTCTTTAGATACATATTTTCGTCCCTAAGGTTTCGGAAGGGAGGGCGTAAAGGCAGGCAAGAAGACCCGCGGATCAATGGTTGAACATGCATTTTATTAAGGACATCAAATTAGATGATTCAGCCACGAGCGCTCCCGCCCCTCTTGTGATATCAAGTTGGAATAAATGCGGCGAACGGGTGCAGTACGAGGTGCGCTTCTGGATTCTGAGTTTCTGTGCCTCTTGTCTGGCATTAATACTGTCTATATTCACAGCATTTATCCTCGATTATCCATTCAGAGCTCTAGCTAGTGAATTAGTAAGTGCCAGCGTATTGTTGGTATATCTCCGCGGCGTATGGGTATAGATCATCATAATTTTATCTGCATTACTCGATTTATGCTATTAATATTGACATTTCGAAATGGCTTAGGGCGCTCGTTGGCTCCACCAGCGGTCGTCGAGTTGTCGTGATGTAGGTAATCCTTCCAAGTCGTTGGAGTGTGCAGAGATATACACCGCATTAATATGTATTCGCTTTGATTAGTTTCTGTACAATATTAATTGAAGGTGTGTTGTATCTGCAATCCAATGTCATTTCTCGATGGGTATATGTTCCTTGGCCACTCAGGGGAAGAGCTTTATAATATACGTCAGACGAAGAAAGGTGTCCCTAAACTATGGTTCGTCTGTTTGACGTTTTCTGCCGACTATCTGTCAATTGTCTTCTCTGATGATCTGAGGAACTATTCTTGTCTGTCGTTCAAGGATGTAATCTGCAATTTTTCAGCAAGCGACTAGATTTAGTACGTTAATGATTCGTGACATCGTGTCGTGCGTGGAATGTTGGCATAATAAAACAAGGAACGTGTTGTGATAAACGGTGTATCGGGAGCAGGGTGCTGATAGAGCCTGTCCTTACTTTTCCCGAGTCAAGGGATTATCAGTCAGATTCGTCCTAAATTGCATCAGATTCAAGTTCAGACCCGTAGAATATCTTCTTGTCGAAATTAGCTGCAGGCATATAGCAGGCCAACGCTTCTTCCGCAATAACGTATACCAGAATCTAAAAGGGCTAAAAAGACAGTCTTAGCAATTTCCGTGTACCAACTGCCATTGCTCTGGCATCTTTGTCAAAAGCCCCGAACTCCGGTTGTTCAAATAGTGATACATCTTTAAGAAACGCTCCTATATCCGTCGTTGCCTGGCCGAGAGAGTTTCCTTTCCAACTGGTCATTATATTAGCCAGCAGAGGAATACAATAGAATGCTGCACTTACGATTTTATTTCCAGTCTATTGTGTGGAAATGACTCATATACGTCCTTCTTATTAAATAAAAAGTCTTGGAATGCAGAAGTGTCCAGGTTAGCATGTGAGAGTATACCATCCGGTAACTCTGCGCTTATTCAAGCCTACAAGATAATGCTTAATAATCGGATCAGTATGTGTACTGAAAGTCAGATAATTACAACAGTAATGGCACGCTGGGTGCATTTTCAGATGAAGGCACGATATTTTACATGATACAGTCAAAATTGTCTTATTACATATTATCACAATGCATATATTGCATAATGCATAGCTTCTGGTCAGAACAAAAGTCAAGTTCTCAGCCAAAATGTATTGTCATGATGCATAATTTGTATAATGCATTGGGTTTTACTCTCTCCCAACGTTATGCAATAAGACAATTTCGACTGTAGCAAAGTCTATTGGTCATATTGTACACAAATTTATATTCTACCGGCAAGTAAAGACAGCCCGACAGCAACGGTTCACAGCTTTGCAATAGACAATACTCAATATTTGAAACAAGGATCAATATTTCCCCAAATGTTTTTGAGCGTCAACCGCCTGTGAACGTGCCTTTTCTTGAACTCACCATGATATACACTACATCACCAAATCGAACACGAAAATGTATTGGAATTTACTGCTAAGACATATATTTTTTACATATTGTGGATCCTTATATTTGCTTATAAAGTCTGCATGTAAATATATTGCCTTGTCAGACTCTGCACGTTTTGGTGATGTATCTTACCACTAACATCTGTGCACGGATCTTCGGATTCACAAATTCCTTGCAGACATTATAAAGCACTGTGGCTACTACACATGCATATTCTTGCAGAAGCCGACAGTCGGGTGTGTACTTTTGCCGTGATTGATTAAGATGCAAGAAGACCTGCACATGCTAAAGACAGACAGTGGGAACATCACAAAATATATCAATCACACTGTTAAGCAACAGAGCGCTCAGCTCATTTCATAAGGCATTGATAAATTTGGTATTAGTATATCAAGAGAAACACGTTTTCGAAGTCAGATAGTTTCAGTAGTGATGACAGGTTGGACACACTTTATTGGACAACAGTAGGATATGAGTTGTGTAACTTATACAGACTATTAGTTTTAGTAGTCACAAATGTTTATTCTAGGTTTGTTAACAAGCTGAGTGACTGTTGGGAGTAATGACTCTTAGCTTATAGAGTTCTATTGATCCAGCCTTAAAATTCAAAATAATAACTATTCCTAATAAGTAAGACTAAAGAGCTATATCTCTCTCAACCTACCTGTTATGGACTGACAATAGTAAATACAGATTTACTAATAGTAACTTACAGAGTTTCTTATGTCAATTTATCTAGTTTATAAGTTATTAATAAGTTCTAAGAAATTATCAAGATACTATGTATGAATTAAGTTTTCTTAGTAACTAGTGTAATTAGAGTAGTAATCAACTGTAGAGAAGAAAGAAGAATTATTATTAGGTAAAGTTGTACTTACCCTCTAACTTATAAGCTCCTTACAGAACTAGAGAAGTTTTATAGCTAAGAAACAAGTGACTATACTTGTCTAGAGTTACTAGTTTACTGTGTCTCTTAAATGCTAGAGAGTTAAGTTTTCTCAGATTATATTTACTAGAGTTCTATGTACTATACTTACAATCTCTAATTATATAGTACACAGTACAATCTGTATTAGTACTTAGTATAGGAGCAAAAATTACAGCTTATAAACTACAGACTATAGCTGTAATTAGCTTACTAATTATATAATATATACTTATATATAGCTACTAAAGTATAAAACTAAAATTCATTATTATAGTACATCTTTAAACTATCAAAAAGAGCTATTCTTTACTGTATACCTTCATAAACTTCTGATAAAGCATTCTCAACTTGACTTTTGTACTAATCAAATATTTATTCTTTTATATTTAAATCTTTATAATTTAACTATTTGTATTACATTTAACTAACTAACTAATTAACTAATTATTAAATTATTAGTTATTCTTATTAGTAGTTTCTCAAAGGTTTTGACCAAATGCAAGTAGAGATACACTAACACAAGCTATACTATAACTAATAGAGTGCTTAAACTAGAATTGTATATACTTATTTCTAGTTTTTATAGTATTATGTAAGTACAGGTGTAAATTGTACACACAGTGTCCTAGCACTGCTTATCAGACCTTTGATGTGTCAGAGCACTCTGTTTGTTTCATTGGCTGCTGTCAAAATTCAGTATTTGGGATGCTAAAAGAAGAAATCTGTAGTCCTTCCTTATTTTAAGAGTCGGGATCCACAGAGCAACAGAACATTCTTGTCATTCTAGTAGGTACCGAGCAATTCGGTTACTTGACATAAGAACAAAACCGGCTTTCAGAAATGACATTCTCTGCTGATTTCATTTGCAATTCATGTGAAATTTAGTATAATTATAGGATCTGTTCCATGTTCTCCGGAGAGACTATTTACGTTCTGTTGGGGGTTGGAAATTGGTACGCATGTTTGCCTGAAAACCGGCTCTAAGGTGTGTTGGTATCTCCCACCCTGTCGTCAAACTTGTCTTTACTCCTCCAACTTGAACCATGGTACAATCCGAAAGCACTGACCCAATTGAGCTCACAGTCACACAGGTTGTACAACCAGACGTAGAACATATGCAACCAGTCGTTGGTGATTACCCATTAGGTCGCACCAAAGCATGGTCAACTGGTCGGTCACATACACTCATGGTGAATTACCTAGTCTGACTGTGTCAAAGTTGTTGGAAGCTGCCTCTTGATATTTTTTGCTACTGGTCTTGTACGTTTAGTTATTCTATCATGAGTCAGGGCAGATAGTCAGATTTATTTATGATTCAGCCGACAGCATTTGGTGTCTTCCAGGATTTCTATACACTTACATGGTTGAACGACTCTTCTGCTTCGAAAGTCAGCTGGATTGGCAGCACGCAATTATTTTTCGAACTATCCTTCGCTCCGATTGCAGGAAGCTTGTAATTATGTTTCTTTTAAATACGAGTATTAGACAGATATCATTGTGTTCCTGCAGGTTCGATTCCAAGCATTTTCGAGCATCAATTATTACTGGCTGTGCCTTAGTTTCCATTAGGTGAGCAACTTTGTTTATAATATCAAACCAATTCTTCCATTGCTCTAACTGTATGTATCTAGCATGTTCGCTCTCTCATTTTCCAAACAGAACAAATATTATCAGGTCTTCTTATTGTTTCTCTCACCGAAATCCTGTATTTTCTCAACCTGCTCTTAGGTTTTTTTATCCCAGGGGATTGGTGTAGGACTCGGGATAAGCCTGCTCTACTTACCTACTGCTGCAGTTGTGTCGCAGCACTTCCGATCACGAAGATCACTTGCTTTAGTAAGTACTTCTAGTCGATCTAGGGATACTAATACAAACATTAGCATAGGGCATTGTCTCTTCTAGCGCGTCTTTGGGAGGCGTGGTTTTTTCAAGTGAGAGACCTGGAATACCTTAGATGAATACCTTCTGACTCCATCATGTAAATTCAGTAATGTTAAACAAACTCCTTCATGGCACTATAGGGTTTGCATGGGCTGTCAGGATAACCTCATTCATAATCCTTGGCTGTAGCATTGTTGGCAATCTCCTGATAGTGGAACCGAAACTCATACATTCACAACCACTTCATCGGAAGGAAGAACACACAGCACTACCAATATGGGACTTGATTTTTGCCCTTATTCTGATTAGTGCTTTCATAGCATCACTTGGGACTTATTTTCCAATCTTCTACATCCAGCTTTTTGCCAAAATGCATGGAATAGATGACAATTTAGCATTCTACTCTGTTGCGATTTTAAATGCAGCATGCATGATTGGACGTGTTGGACTTAACTTGTTTGCTGATCGATTTGGACCTATGAACGTTTTAATAGTCTGCCTCAGTGTGTGTGGTGTGTAAATATTTCAATATCCACTTTAGTCCTATCTAACAATAACTATTATGTTTGTCAATTACTTGTCTCAAGGTGGAGTGGTCCTCGCTATGTTTGGTTGTACCCGAGCAGTTGGACTAGTTTTGTTTGCAATCTTGTATGTTCTATTAATGAAGAACTGAACTGAAGTGTACTAATCATAGAATTTAGCTATGGGTTCTTTATTGGCGGATGTAAGTAATGCTTTTCCAGGGATGCTTTTCACAAGGCTGAATGGTTTTCCGTGGACAATAGTTTTGTCAGTCTATCTTCCAACAATTGCAGCCCTGCGCCAGGATAACGTGGACATTGGGTATGAAAACATTTTTGACTGTTGTTTGGAAATCCCTGAGAAATCTACAAGTAAACGTATGGGAATATCTCTGGCTCCTATTGGAATCGCGTACTTAATTGGATCTCCAATAATTGGAGTTGCATTGGGACCAAACTTTTCTTGGTGGAAGGGAATCATATTTGCAGCAGTACTGTGCTCATAGTTCTCTTGATTCTATTAAACTAACCAGTCCTTTATTTAGACTACAATGATCATTGCTGTCATAATCCTAGTCATTGTAAAATTCCTTTCTTCAAAGTCACCTCAGAAGAACGTTGTAAAGTAATGCCTGCTTCATTGCATTAATAAGTTTGTTGCCCAATGAATGTCTGTCATGTCTCACGCAACTGACGGCGAACAAGAGGGTGGTGGAAGTTTCTTATTGTCTTGTCATCAGTGTGGCTTTGCACGTCATCACAAGTCTAGACGTAACGTACATAAGCTAGAATACGAAGGTGAGTATTTGATGCAATGTACTGCCTTTCGTCATTTACTTATGACTGATCATGGACCACTCTTTCTGAAACTATGCATTGGCAACCATGGGACTTGACAATCCTTCGTTTTTTGTTGTCCAGGTTGTCTGTGAGCCAACTAGCTTCAACCTCCTTAAACGTTGCTCTTTGTTGGCAATCTCAAAGATCCGAACAACATTGTGATAGACCTTGAGCTTCACCATGATGATTCCTACGCAGCTCACTTCGCCTGCTCCATAGTAGTGCTGCTCTACTACTGTAGTTGCACGAGTGTTGAACATGATGCGAATGGAGCACATATAGTCTTGAGTGGCAGAATATTGTTCAAGGCCGTCTGACCAGATTCACAATGGCGGGTGACTTTGATGTGTAGCATGATGTTGTAAAGTATGATTAATGAGAATATTTTTACAGTGTTCTGTACAGACGCAGGGGCTGACAGTTTGGAGGCACAGGTGAGACTCAAGCGACGAGTAAGGAAGAAGCTAGTACTGTAAGACTGTATGTAGGCAACGCTTACAAATGCATTATGTAAGCGTAATGGTATGTGTTAACGCAACCAGGCTTCAGTTACCTGTTGCATCACAAAACTAGATGTGGTCTGACAATACATTGTATGTCATTCTAATAACTATAATATATAAAAGATATAGAAGTCTGTCAATGATCATTACATTGGCATCTGCTGCTAAGACATATCTTTAGAAGGTCTGTAAGACTTCTAAAATTTACAATACTTTTATAAATTGTCAGAGTATACAAGACTTGCATGAGTATACAAGACTTGAGTGAGAATACAAGCTCTTACCAGAGTTGCTCAAACAATAAATGCTTCATACAATAATCATTCTTTTTTATCATTATTGAATTAGAAAACAAATATATTATACTTGAGTAAATAATTACAGGCGAAAGTATTTACTAGAACTACTATTAAATCCTGTACCACTCTTATTTCTTCCACTCATACCCACATTGCCTCCCATAGTTCCTCCAGAAGATCCACTAGGCTGTCTGGCTGAAGAAGTGCCTCCAGAACCTGAGGGCCTCGGCCCTTCATCATTGTCGTCGTCGTCATCATGAGCACCATCGTCTGGTTGCTTGCTAAAGTCAGCTGGATGCTTAGATTCTTGTTCCCCGTCAAACTAGTGAGAAAAAGCCATGCCAGAACATTATGACAATACAGGTCGACCGAACCGGACGCGTGATGTATGGATAGGGGGACAGGGAGCGTGCCGATCAGACAGACTGTGGAGTGATAGTAAC